TTTAGGGGGGTAGAAAGAGGGTTCCCTCGGAGTTCATTGCCTTCTCCGCCTCTCAGCTGTCTTTGTTTCTTCGGAAACAAAGCGAGACGCCGCTACCATCTCCGTACTTAAAGAAACCGTGAGTAATCTTAAACCGGACAGAACTGTTTAAAGGATTTTATTTATAGTTTAGCTTTATTTTATTTTTTTTAGTTTATTTAGTTTATTTAGTATCTGCTGATTTTTTTTTTATTTTTTTGAGCTTTCTCTTTTTTTTTTGGGCGGAAAAGTGAGAGTGAAAGTAAAATGGCGTTTTGAAAGTTTTTTTTTCCTTTAAAAGACGGATCGGCTGAATTGTTGTTTAATATTGCTTTTTTTTTACTTTTTTTACTTTTTTATTCTTGGGGACTTTTAGATTGATCTTATCTTATTCTATTTTATCTTATTTTTAATTTTTTTTTGGATTATTTATTTTTATTGGTATTTTTAAGAAGAAAGGAAGATAAATTAAAATGGCTTCAAAACGACAACCAGCTACTGCAGCTTCTAAAGTAACTTCTTCTCCTGCTACTTCTACTGTGCAACAACAACTTAAAATAATACCCTCAGTGCAGCAACCTAAATCTACTCCACCTTCACCTCCCCCATCTGGCACATCAGCACAAGACATTAAAGAAATAATGGTAAGTGCTGTCTCACAGTTTAGGGAGGAAATGAAACAACTTTTGGATCAGAATAAATCTGAAACTAAGGAGGAAATGAAGAAAGAGATGAAGGAGCTTTTAGAACAGAATAATGCTATTTTGAGGGATGATATACTTTTAGCTCTATCTGGAATGGCCTCAGTGGTTGTGAAGCTGGACTCCAGAGTAGAGGAAATTGAAGAAACAGTTGAACTTTTGGATTATAAATTTCAAGATATGGAGAAAAAAGTGGAGACTTCACAAGATGATATTCTTATGTTCCAGTATAGACAGATGGAATATGCTTTGAGAATAAGGGGTCTGAAAGAAGATAAAACTCAAGATTTGATGGAAATGGTGATTAATGACTTGGCTGTTATTTTGAATATTGATAAAGAAGAGTTACGTGGGGATGTGGAAAGAATTTATAGAGTTAATTCTTGGATTGCAAAACAGAGGAATTTGCCTAGAGATGTGGTGATATATTTTGCTAAGAAGTCTTTGCGAAATCAGATTCTACAAACTTTTTATAATAAAAGATTTCAGATTGCTGCCCAAGATATTATTATTTTAAAGGAAATTCCACCTAAAATTTTAAGAAGCAGAAAAGATTTTGCTTTTTTAGTAAATGAACTTAAAGCAAGACCTCGGCATGCCATAGAAGGTATAAGGAAAGGGGTAAATATGGACAAGGTCTCTTACGTACAGTTATTAAGATGGGATGGCCAAGACTGGCAGTTAAAATCTTTGGAAGAATTAACACATGAAAACTTAACTTATTCATGGTTCCAATATAGACAAATAGTGGATAGATGGAAGATGGATTGTAAAATGGGCTGGCTTAGAGAAGATGGAATTTTTTTAAAACAAGTAAGAGATCAAAGGCCAACCCATATTAAGAGAGTTTATGGGGTTTTAGTGGAATTAGATTCAGAACTTGAACTAGTTAAAGATTGTATGATTAAATGGGCACAGAATATTGGTGAAACGATTTCAATGGATACTTGGGAACTTATTTGGATAAGAAATGTTAAATTCACACAAGCGCAAAATTTAAGAGAGAATTTTTATAAGATGTTTTATAGATGGCACCTTGACCCAAAGAAAATGTCCATTATGTACCCTAATCTACAGCCGAAATGCTGGAGATGTGGATATTTGGATGCTACCTATTACCATATTTGGTGGACGTGTAAGCATATAAAAGCTTTTTGGATTAAGATATGGTGGAATATTCAAAGAATTTTTAAAAGAAGGGTAAAATTTACTCCGCAATTATTTTTACTAGGTATTGTTATTGACTGTGATGCTAAGGAGGTTATATTGATGTTAAATTTGATTACAGCCGCTAGGTTGTTAATAGGACAATATTGGAAGAAGGAATCTTTGCCTACTTTACAAGAATGGTTTCATAAAGTTTCGTATTTGGCAGAAATGGCAAAGATTTCGGCTTTCTTAAAGGAGCAATCTCAAGAAAAATTTTTTGCGGTATGGGAAAAATGGATAAATTTTATACAACATAATTTGGATATGGAAAAATATTATTTAGCCTTTTTATAATTTGTAATGATTGTTTTTTCTTTCTTTCTTTCTTCTTTTTCTTTTTTATATATATACATTTTTAATGTATTATTATTCATATATTTTTTTTTTTATATATATATATGCTTTATTTTTCGTCTACTTTCTTCTTTCTTCTTTCTCTCTCTCTCTTCTCTTTTTATTTTTTATTTTTTTTCTTTTTTAGTATATATTATTCATTTTAAAGTTTATGTTATGTATATTATTTCTATATATATTATTACTGTGATTTTTATTATTATTATTAATTATTTTATAAATTGCAAATGTTATTTTTAAAATATTTGTTAAATAATCCTATATTCAGTTCTGGGAAGTCGGGGGGGGGGGTGGGTGGTTGGGGAGGGGGGGGTGGATTTTTATTTGTAAAACTTTTGAAAAATTTCAATAAAAAAAAAAAAAAAAAAAGATATTAATTTAGCAGGAGGATAATTGTGTGATTACAAATGCACTTTGACCAGAAGAGAGTGAGCAGATGAAGCTTTTTTAAAGCTAAAATGAACGCTCAGATGTAAAAGTGAGAAGAAATGGAGCAAATTTAAACCTGGTCCTCAGGGAACGTGTGTTTAGTTTGTTTGTCAGAAGAGGGTGCATCGAAGTTAAGCAGATAACGTTGCACAGAGAACATTGTACACCAATTGCACAAGGCTTTTTTCTGAAGGGTGGGGGCTGCAGTGTTTTCAAGCTTCTGGGGTTGGAAGCAGCAGCATTGCTGGAGCTACTGGTCACCAGTCATCTTGCCCACCCCCCAACCCCGGGCTGCCCATGTCTCTTCCTGCAACCGTTGCCACATGGAGGGCAAGCACCGAGCCTCTTCTTCCTGCAAGCAGGTTCGGGAGTGCCAGGGGTTGTGCAGAACCCGGAGCTGGGTTGGCCTCATTTTAGGTATGACAGAGCCAGGGCAGCGATGGGGGGGGCAGACTAAAGGACCTGACATGCACGAGGGGAAGGAGCTGGCGATGCTCAGAGCAAGGCAGGCTCTGAAGTCCAGCTAGTATCCAGGGCACGAGGCTCACCCATTCCCAGGGGTGAAGGGGGTCCCCTGGGGCACCCACCTGGCTGGGTGGATCTGCTGCTAAGAGGAAGAGGAAGATGGTAGGGCTGGAGAGCAAAGCGGAAATCTTCCAGGAGAGTTGCTGAAACACGTGTCTCGGATGGTGTGCTAAGGTGTGCTAGGAAGGAAAGAAGGAAGGGAGGGAGGGAGGGAGGAAGGGAGGGAAGGAAGGAAGGAAGGAAGGAAGGAAGGAAGGAAGGAAGGAAGGAAGGAAGGAAGGAAGGAAGGAAGCAGCAGCCACATGAGCGAGGTAATTCAACCCTCCTCCTCTTCCCACAGATCCTGGGCGCATGCAGAGAGAGGCAGAGCTTGGCTGCTGTTGGTGTGGGGCTGCCAAGGCACACCCAGGGAGCCCTTAATCTACAGGTCGCTGACATGATAAACAATAATGTCTCTTTTGGAGCTGTTATAACTTATCTTGTTAATGGGCGGTTTGGGATCCCGTAATTGGTGATTTGTGCATGGACTGTCACAAAATTTTAAAACATGCTTGCCATCATTTCTTGGGTGTTTGCACAGCAACTGTCTCACAAGGCCAACAGGGAACCGCAAACAAAACTCTACCTAAGGCTCAGGGTGGGGGGGGGCAGAGAGGAAGCTATTCCTTCCCAGACCCCCACCCTCCCAGGCATATTCTGGAAGGTTTTAGGCATCCCCTCGTGCTCTCTGACCAGGATGAATAACATCTGGGTCCGGTCTGATCAGAGCTGAAGGGAAAGCCCAAAGGGGAGGCTGTGGAGACCCACTCGGCTCCTTCTTCAGGATTTCCAGGAACTGGCAAGAACCCCAGAGAGCCATCGGTGCAATGGCAGAGAAGTGGCCAGAGGGAAAAAGGACTACGGGGGGAGGGGTCCTCTCTGCTCTCTCAAGAGGCAAAGGGGTGACCCCACATTTCTGAAGAGCCGCCTCTCTTCTCCCCCAGCCACCATGCTTAGCTGGGACTCAGGCCTGGACTTCAGGGAGGGGAGGCCGGGAGTCCTGCCAGCATTGCCAACCTTTGCTCAGGCTGACGGGCACGGGTGGCAGGGGGCAAACGGGGGCCCTCCCCACGTTCTTGGGCTGTTTTCTGCTGGAGCATTAATTAAGAGCACCTGCCCTTGTAGTCAGCCCTGCTTCATTAGGAACACTGTAGACCTAGTGTCAATGTGTAATTAAAATTATGCATATCTTTTTTAAAAATAGCTCTTTTGAAACAGAGCCCCAGTCATCCATAGCTATTAATTTAATCAGCCAATTTTGCTCAGGTGAATTCCTCCCTCCCCCCCCCCTCATGCAAGGATGCAGATGGAGTTTAACTGATTCAGTTACCATAGCAATGCGGAGCTTCTCCCCACCCTGCAAGGGCCCTGCCAGCACAGGAGTTCAACCCCACCAAGTCCATTTCCCCTGCCTGCCTGGGTTGGTCTTCTGTAGGGCCAGGGACATCCTCGCTGTCCCAGAAGAAAAGCACGGATTTGCAGAGGGAGGGAGTTTTACCCCAGGGCCGGGGGGGCCTTTCTGAACAGCAGTCCCAAAGGAAACTCCCCCCCCCATTTGTCAACACTCTGATGTTTGCCCTCTCTGTGGCAGGTTTAGGAAATGCACAGCCACTTCCTGGGCAAAACCTGCTGGAGGTGTCTGTGCAGAAGATGGTGAAGGGAAGGGAGGGGAGGGGGAGGGGAGGAGGGGGACAGCCTCAAAGGAGGGCACTGAAAGATGGGGAGCTGCCTTCTGCCTCCTCCAAACCCAAGTGAGTATGAAAGGAACCCCATCTGGCCAGATGGAGAGGAAAGGGGAGTTGCCCGCCAGGAGAGCCAGGGGGGCCTCCTCCTGCATCTCATTAGTAATGCAGGGCGCATCCCCCGTTGCTGGCGCATTCTGCTGCAAGAAACTCGGAAAAGACAAGAAAAATGAAGGCAGGTGCAATCTCATTTTCTGAGGGCTGCAAGTCAGCCAGGAAGCGGCCATTATTCCATCGACTCTGTCGGCATTAAGTTATTTCCTTCACTAAAGACGGGCGGGTTCATGAATATCTATTGAGTTCCAGGTAGTGGCGTCTGGCAGAGAGCGCCTAGCTGATTGTAGCTTTATATTCCTCCGACAACACACCTCAATCTCCCTCTGAAGTGAAAGACAATAGTATTTTAAATTGGTTAATAAATCTCTAGATTGATGCTCCAGAAAGGCCTGGTGACTTCATCTCTATTACATGAATAAAAGTGATAAGGCCTCTGCCACAGAGGGGCTCCGAATTGGGGGGACCCCCCCACAACCTTCAGGTCTGCAACACCTCACCTCCAGAAAGGGCCCCGAGTGGCGCAGCGGTTGCCATCCCTCTGCTCTGGGGGAGATAAGAAACTCCTGGCTGTGGGACGGGAGCCCGAGAGGAGCCTGGCCTTCCGGTGCCCCAGGGAAGGCAGGGGAGAGAGCGCCACTCATGGGAACCCGCAGTCCCCACCCTCTCCTCTGGCCAAAGCTTGGCCTCCCCCTCTCCTCCTCCGGGTTGCCCAGAGCTCCCCTCTCCAAGGTAGGGAGGCCTCCTCAGGCTGCACACCGCAAATTTCACCCCCCAACCGAGGGTGGCATTTTTGGACCCTCATCTGGACCTCCACCAGTGCCGTGCCACCTCCCTCCTCCTGCCAGAATGGCCCAACCCCACTTGGGCTCTTTGCCAGTTTACCTGACAGCTGGCTCTGGGAGAGGCTGAGTGCTTTTCCTCCAGAGAAGGACTCCTGATCAGCAGCACGCTTGCCTGGTCCTTCTGTTTCTTTGCTGGTCGTCTTTAACCTGCAATCCATCAGAATACAGCTGGAAGGGACCTTGGAGGTCTTCTAGTCCAGCCCCCTGCTCAAGCAGGAGACCCCATTCCATTTCAGACAAGGGGCTGTCCAGCCTCTTCTAAAATGACCTCCAGTGACGAATGTCCCAAAGGAGCTTCTTCAGGAGGCAAGTGGACTTTCTTGTTTTCCTTTGAAGACATTTCGCTTCTCATCCCAGAAGCTTCTTCAGCTCTGACCGGATGGAGGGAAGGGAAGGAATGGAAGCTCTGACCATCCAGTCAGAGCTGAAGAAGCTTCTTGGAGGGGAAGCAAAACGTCTTCAAAGAAAAACAAGAAAGTCCAGTTGCCTCCTGCAAAAGCCCCTTTGGGATAACCATGACCTGGGTGACTGAGAATCTCCATAGTCTTCCAGGGATGAAGCACCCACAACTTCTGGTGGCAAGCTGTCCCACTGGTTAATTGTTCTCACTGTTAACAAGTTTCTCCTTAATTCCAGGTTGCTTCTCTCCTTGATTAGTTTCCATCAATTGTTTCTTGTCCTGCCCTCTGGTGCTTTGGAAAATAAATTGACCCCCTCCTCTTTGTGGCAGCCCCTCAGATACTGGAATGCTGCTATCATGTCACCTCTGATCCTTCTTTTCTCTAGACTGGCCATATCCAATTCCTGCAACTGTTCGTCGTATGTTTTAGTCTCCAAGCCTTTAATCCTCTTTGTTGCTCTTCTTTGAACTTTTTCCAAAGTCTCAACATCTTTTTTGTAATGCGGTGACCAAAACTGGATGTAGCATTCCAGGTGTGGCCTTATTAAGGCTTCATAAAGCGGCACTAATATTTCATGTGATTTTAATTCTATGCCTCTGTTTCTACAACCTGACTCTGCCAGCGAGGCTCCTGATTTCGAATGAAGGCAGAAATGCCAGCAGGACACACAAATGGCAGACCAACTCCAGTTCCTTCTGCAGTGAGGTCGGCCTGGCATTAGGTGGATTCCTGGGGTCTTCTGCCTTTGCCTTCCTCGTGTCGCGATCAAGTGGCAGCCGCGATGCCGAGGCTCTTTGCGAGAAAAGTATACTTGCTAATTCAAAACAGTTATGTTAGACAATATAAATTTATTTAGTGCCATAAATTACATAATTGAATTTTTATTTCCTTCATATATTTGAGTGAAATAACTAATATTTTGAATCTGCTTGGCCTGCATGTCTTTCACAGGAACATATTTTCTGTAATATTATGCCTGTATAAAGCTGACATTTAAATGGTTTAATAAATGAGCAGTTGTTTGACTTGTTTCAGATTCAATACATTCTGGTACATTAATAAAATATATTTCAGAAAGCAGCTCAATAGCCCAAACCCTTGATTTATTAGCGATACTTTTGCTATTAGGGGGACAGATATTCAAAATGCCATTAAGGTTAAAATAATAATCAATCACACTAATTAGGCTCAATTTTTCATATGCAAATATAATTAAGCATACATTTCTCAAGAACTTTAAAGAGAATTACTGAAGCTAGGGATAGGATCCTGGGGGGTGGGGGAGAGAGAGAGATCCAGTTTGCACTAATGGAACAGCTGTTTCCCCACTTAAATCTGCAACCAGATTGATTTGGCACTTTGCAATCTGCCCCAAACTCAGAAAAGTTGGCGCTCACGCCAAAGAGCAGCCAGCGTTCAGGTGAAGCTGCTTAAAGATGAAGCTGGCTCAAACAGGCGCAGAGCAGACATCACAAGTGGCAGGTTTGGGGAGGGGTAAACCATTTCTGCCCCTATCTTACCCCTCCCTGCATTGGTGCTGGGCTGGGCCAGGCCACTGGGCAACCAGCCTGACCTACTGGGAGGCTGCTGGCCTTCCACTGCGTGGGCGCATCCCAGGCCCCTAGCTGCCGTGCGCCTGAGCCCTTTTAGCATCCACTGGACACGAAGGACAAAACCCACCGAAGCTTCAGTGCCCACCTGGGGCTTCTCGGGGGTTGGAGGGGCAGGGGTGGGCAGGGCACTCAAGGGGCGTGAGCAGCTGGGGACGAGGCAGCCTGGCATCTGCCTGGAGAAAAGGGCTGCCCAGGTTGCCCTGGTGAAAGGGGCTCTCCAGGAGAACCAGCCGTTCCTTGGATCAGGGAGCCCCTCTTTCTTTTGTTAAGAGAAGGGTTAATAAGGATGCTTATTTATGAACTTGGAACATTACTGTTGTTGGATAATTTGAATACATGCCTGGGTTATATGTGTCTTCTTTATTGCATACTATAATTTCATTTTTAAAGCTTCCAGAGTGCCATCCTTTAAAAATAATACCACAAACAAGGAATAAATTCTTTCTTCAGCTGTGCTGGGAAGAGCTATCCAGGGACTGAGCCCCCTTGTTCTCCCAGAAGCTTTGTGGGCAGGTCCGTCTTGGCTTGGGGAAGGGTCGGCACAGGTCTTAAATGGGGGGGAGCATTTGCTCTGAATGCAGGCCATTTCAGGCAGGCCAGAGAGAGGAGGAGCAGGAAGCAGAGGCTTTGTAGTATCTTTTTTGAAAATCCTGGCGTTTGTCCTTCCAGCTGTTGGCTTCTGTGACAGCCTCCCTTGTGCCTCTCTTCAGCCGGAGGATCTACAATGGCAGGGAGGGGCTGGGGAGTTCAACCCCCTCCCGACCCGTCTCAGAAAGCCTGGGAGAGGGAGGAAAGGGCTTCCTGGGGAGATCCTGGGGAAAGGGCTTGCACCGGTCCCACCAATGGTTTCGGAGGCCTGGAGACATCGCTGGGTGCCAGGAGCCAGCAGGACAGTTGTGTCCCCAGCTGAGTAGCAGAGAAGAGCACCCAACGACAGAGAGGCAGATTCTCTCTCTCTCTCTCTCTTGAGACGGGATCCCTCAGATGAGCAGCCTCGCAGGGCTCCCAGTGGCAAGGCTTGACCACCTGCCCAGCCCAGGACAGGAAGCCCCAGGGTGCTGAGGCTGGGCCTGGAGCAGAAATAAGTCCCCAGAAGTGAAAGAACCCATCTCCCCAGCCGGCCAGTCTCTGGTTTTTTTCTTCACCTTGACTGCAGTTTGGAGCACCACGGAGGTCGTCTGCTGAAGAACTGAGCTCACTCAATTGATACTCGGCATTTTCTGGGGAAAACTGCTCCTCCACAAGCTAGTCACGGGCAGGCAGGCCGAGTCCAGACAGTTACATCAGACCAGAATTGATAGTTTGAGAGAGCAGCAGCAGCTCGACTGGTGCTGCCAGCCGAGGCTCCATGGAGACCAGGCTCCATATTTGGATTCTTGGATCGGAGTGGAGCCCAAGTTGTAGTGGTTTGTCTGATGCTCACAGCCTTTCGGCTGAGGCACACTACAAAACTGTGTCAGAGCACAGGGTCAGAGGCCATCTGAGCCCCCCCGCCCCCCCCCACTGCTGCTCCTCTTCAGCCAGGGAGGTGGGTGGCCTCCGGGCCCATGGGAGGAGCCCTTCCCATGCACGAAGAGGGCCCGGGAGCCACTCTGCCCAGCCACTTTCACTTCCCGGGCTGAATCCTTCAGTGCGGCCGGCCTTGGGGGCCTGCAGGCCAGGCAGCCTGCTCAAAGGATGCCCAGCCTGCTGCCATGTTCAGTAAATCAGGACTGAGGAGGCAAGGGAAGGACCCCAAGCCCAGCGCAGTCCTGGCTGGCAGCTTCCCCAGCCAAACAACGGCAGGGCGTCGCGCAGCTGGGGCTGGATGTCCTTGGGCAGTCTGCATGCCACCTGGCAGCTCATGGACAACTAGCCTTCTCTGCCACTGGGCAATGTTCCCCCCTGGCCTAAGGGCACTTCTGGCCAAAGGCCTTGCACCTGCCCTGAGGAGGGAAGCCCCAGCTGAACCTCCACTCAACCTTCGGATCCACCTGCTCAGCCTCCCCCCCATGGGTTCCCACCTTGGGGGTGTGCGGTGGGCATTGGAGCCCAGAGCAGCCTCCTTTGTTCTCTGCTGGCAGCTCCCTGCAAGCCTCAGCACTTCTCCTCCATGGCCCCTTCTCAGCCTCAAAGCCGGGTCATGCAAATTGACCCCGAATGGGAGGAAAATGCCGTTTGAAAAGCAGGTTTGTCCCTCTAGGAAAATGTCCTCCTTCCTTTGGTCCACGATCCATCATCTCCTCTCCTCCCGTCACCATCGTCTCTGGCTCCAGGCAATCCATCTTGTGGTTAAAAAGAAAAAGATTGATTCTCACAAAATGCCATTTTCAAGCAAGACAAATGGAAAGGGGCCCTTTGGAATCATAGTTGCATTGGCTGTAGAAGGGAATCCACACAGGATCCCAACTGAGAGTTACGGGCAGATCCGTCTCCGGGGAATCCATAAGGAGGCTCATAGTGCCAAAAAGAGCACTTAAAACGGCCCGCCCCCTTCCCACAACCTCCTGGACCAGCTCAACGGTGGGAAGATCAGTGTCTGGTGAGGAAAGCACAGAGGGGACTAAAATAATGCCAGTCCTGCACTGATCTGGGAATCCCTCTGCCCACATCCTGGCCCCCTTCATCCTCCTCTTCCTCCTCGCCCCCCCCCGCAAAAGTGCTAGAGAGGAAAAGCCCCCTCCCCAGCCAAAGCCTCATTCCTGTTCCACCAATTCCAGAACCTTGGCTTGGATCGGGTGGCAAAGGCACGAGCTGCAGACCAGCCTGGGGTGCTCCCCATATTAGCTTTGGCCAAGATGGAGACCCGGGATCCGTTCCTCGGAGATGGGGAGATGGCCTCAACTGCTTAGGCTGGCAGAGGGCTGGCCTTGGCCAATCCTGCATCCTGCATGCTGGCAGAGCAGCTCCATGAAGTCCACGGCCCCTTCCTCCCCTCAGCCACCCACGGGGAGCCCAAGACGGGCAGAGAGACACGTCCCCGGTCTCTGCCGAGGAGTGTGCTGGGTGTCCTTGCTCCCTTGCCGGGCGAAGGAAGCGCAGCCTGATTGGGATGCGGAGCGTCGCTTCTGCTTTTCTCTCTAATGAGACAAAATAAATTTACACTGTGTCGTCCCCCCTACCCCCCTCCAAAGCAGAGGCAGTTTTTACGCCG